GCCCACTTAAGGGCATTCTTGTCATCATCTAATTTTTAGATCTTAATAAAATAGGGTTAGAGGAGAATGGAGATTAATTCGACTCCTTCTCTTACCTTCTCTTTTCGCCATCTTCTTCTCCTGTATAGCTGTTCAGACCTGTTCTTTACTTCTTCTAATCCCTAAATTTGTTCTTGATATTTGAGGACTGATTTACATCTTATACATCAGTATTCTCATAGATTTATTGCATCACTGCTTATGACAGCCAGACTTGAATTATATTTTTTTTTCAGTGATGAGTTATAATTGCATTTAGTATCCATGTCTTTGCATCATGACCATTAATTGCCATTAATAATTTGATGAATCTTTACATTTGGCATCCATGCATTTGCATTCTGACCATTATCTAGCACTTAAATCATTCTGATGAATTGCCGATTTTATCAAGACTATAAGAGCTGCAGAGCATGTGTTTGCATCATGACCATTAATTGCCATGAATAATTTTGATGAATAAGCATTTGATATCCATGCATTTGCATCCTGACCATTATCTAGCACTTAAATCATTCTGATGAATTGTCAATTTTATCAAGACTATAAGAGCTGCAGAGCATGCATAATTTCATATAGTTTTGGGGACTCAACTGGAATTTGAGAATTTTACTTTCTTTTTGTCAATAACTATTGGAACCCTTTAGTCTCTAACAAACTATTAAATCTCCCTCTAAAACAATCCTTTTGTGTTTTCTGAATATTGGGACTCTTGAATGATACATTACAAGCAGAAATCCAATAATGTGAATTTGTTGTGATTGTTTGAACCATTAATATTCTTCATGTCAATATCAGTATACTGTAGTTGAGATGTCAACAATTGTCTTGCCAATGATTTGCACGTATACATACCATTCCTGTGCATGTACTGAAAATGGTGCCATTAAATTAACCTGTTTTTTTGCACCTAAAAACTATTTTTCAGATTTTAGATATCCACCTCCAAGCTGGTCTCCTATCACAGCAGCTTTCAGCTGGTACAATCTTTCATTTTTTTTTCGTCTTTTTTATCCTTCTTAGCTATGAAATAGCTTTCTTTCTAGAAAGAAAAAGAGACTGATATATTACCTACGTTACACGGATTCTGGTATGAGAGTTGGAATCACATTACATGGGTACTGGTGTGAGGATAAGAATCCAACACAAGTATGATGTGTTGGAATCATCTAGCATGGGAAAATGTGATCCAGTGACTTGGCTTCCACACTTTTCAAATACATTTTTCAATGAGGAAAATGAAATAAATTTAGATGCATAAATCAATGCAAACATATCAAGTATTGCAAATTTCCATTCATGTTCAACTTTTAGCATAAGAATTCGAGGTTTTTTAGTCACATGTTGTTGTGTCAGTGCAGTGTCTGCACATATCCTATCTAGTTACAACATCCATTTGAAATATCTGTGTCACATGGGATATTAGACCACTTGTATGTGTCCAATTGCCTGGCTGTCATGTGTTTATCATTATTTTATTCATGCTATTTGATGTGATATCCTGGCCATCCTTTTAAATGCATGTCAATGCAAATACCGATCACTTCATTTCATGTTTTCTATTCCATCTTACTTCATACACGTATTGCTGGCAACATGATACCTCATACTTGGGTAATTTTTTTCCTACTCCAGGGTCTTCAACGTCAATTCAGTGCTATACATGTACTGAAATCAGTGGAGTCATTTTTCACTGCGGCTGGTGCATCTTGTAAATCCAACACCTTATCATTTATTGTTGATGTAAGTATTTTTTGCTATGGATAAATTGAACTGTTTTGTTTTTAATAATGTTTTTGGTGTATGCCAACACCTAAGATATATTTTTGTAGGTAACTGCATCAAAAGAGCATGTTGAAGCAATCCTAAAAAGTGTGCCCCAGAAAATTGATGAGAGTGTTAATTGCCACTTTATGTCTGAGACATCCAATGGCTCAAGTAGATTGCACACTCCAGTTGATGATAAACTATGTTTCCATGTTTCGGTGAGACCAGTTCTATTATTTCTTTTCTCTTAGTTCACCTCTGATGTCTACTTGTTTATCTCTCATTCGTTGTTTGTTATGTAATTGTCTTAGGTCTTTCAGCAAATTCCAGGCACCCTTCTAGTGAGGGGATCATTAAATCATGACGGAAATTCAGAGTCAGGTTCTAACCTACCCATTTCTAATTCCAAGTTAAAATGCATTACTTTGACACACACCGGTTTGTTGCATAGATGGCAGTTCATTGTTTTAAAAGCACAGGGGGCATTTTGTGCCTGAGATGCAAGGCACACACCTTTTTGAAGCAAGGTGCAAAAATGCACAAAATTCCAAAAAAAAAAAAACAAAAGATTAAAAATATTAAACATAATATCGATTAAAAATATAAGCTTAAATTTTAAAATAAATGTTCTAAAAATAACGTGGTTGTGGAGGTTTCCCCTAGAAGATGATAGGGGAAGCATTCATGGTATCTTGGAAAATGGTTGGAATACAAAGGTGGCGTCTCACTCTTCAAAGTCTCCTTGAAAAGTAATACAAGCGGTACTCCCAACCTTTCTTAATTTCACTCACTTTGATGTGGGTAGTGGGAACAAAGTTCTGTTTTGGGAGGATCTGTGGATTGGTGACATACCCCTCAAGCTACAATTCTCTTTTCTCTACTCTCTGTCCAATTACAAATCTGAACCTATCTCAAAATTTATTGCAACCTTGCCTTCTGGCATGAACCGTGATTTTGGCTTCAGGAGGGGCTTGAGGAATAATGAATGTGAGTCCCTTATTTTCTTGTTGGCCAAGTTGGAGTTGTTCTTGGATCAAAATTTGAATGATAGTAGAATCTGGTCCCCCTCACTTGATGGGCTCTTTTCTTGTGCTTTTTTTTTCAATTTGTCCACACGGAGTTTTTGGGGGTGAGCTTCCTGGTGAAAGAGATTTAGTGCAAGCCTATCCCTCCTAAAATTCAAGCTCTGTGTTGTGAATTATTTATTGGAAAGATAGATATCTGTGGCATGCTGCAATAAAAGGAGGCCCAATTGAAGTGAACAAGTACCTGGAGAACATTGTAAATATAGCAGTTGAAGTGAACAAATCTCTGGGTTTATTGGTTTTAGGTGGAGAGACTTTACTAAAAAGATGTTTGAGCCTTTGAGGTACTGGAAAGACATTTTCCTCTTCCCACGAGGGATTTAGATGTCAACTCTGAAGCTCTTAGTTCTAGATCTGAAGACTTAAATTCTGAAAAGAGAGCCGATGGAACTACAAGAGTCAGCAATGGTGAAATTGAATTCGTGGAAGAAGATCAACTGTTCAAGAAGAATACGGTTCTGGAATTGGAAAGAATTAACAAGGAGACTAGGGACTTGATGGATCTTAGGAAGGACTTTTTGGTAGTTAGAAGGTTTAAACATTGGAAAAAATATTGTCCAGTTTTGGTGTCAAGTGTTTTTGCTAGGTTAAAAGGAGGGTTATTTGGAATTGGGCCAAGTAAAAGAGTTTTGAAACACAAGAAGGGTCAGAAGAAGAATTAGAGGTTTGTTCTTTTCTTTGGTCTGTAGAGGGAGTTTTTATGGATTGCCTTCTTTGTATTTTAGTGTTAGAGATCTTGTTGTGAAGAGCTCTGTTTTGGTGGTTGGTTTCTGTTTTTTTTTTTTTTTTCAGGTTTGGGAGGATGCTTGGTTGTATTTCTGGTATTGTGGTTGGTGGTTTTTTGAGGTGTTGGGGTTGGTTTGTTCTTCTTTTCTTTGGGGTGACTTCTGGTCACTTTCCTTGTATTTCTTTTTTTTTTTATTTTAATAAAGTTTTATTTATTACAAAAAAAGGAGGCCCAATTTGTGCCTCTCTCCTCCGGTGTGCATACTTTGCAAAGCTTGTGGTGAGACCATTCCTCATTTACTAATCTCCTATCTTGTGTCTTGTATTTGGGAATATTTCTGTTTTCTCTTTGGTTGTAGATGAGTTTCCCCTCGAGATGTTGTAAACTTATTCAACTCCAACTTCCTAAGGCAATCAAAAAAGAGAGGGAGAATTATGTGGAGGACAGTAGTGTGGTTTATTTGGGAGGAAAGAAACCAAAGAATCTTTAATGACAATAGCAGGTTAAGGAGGAGCTAATAAAAGCTATAAAAGTCAGAGTTGTGCATTGGGTAAAAACATTTGACCTCTTTAGAGTCTTCTTAGTTAATGAAATAGTAAGAGCTTGGGTAGAAGTTGCACGGATAGATATAAGAAAAGGCAGAATGATAATGGAGTGGAAACCCCTGGTTGAAAACAAATTGAAGATGAACTTTGATGGTAGTTTTATGGGCAATCCAGGAAGGGCAAGCATAGGGGGTGTCTTTAGGAATCACCTGGGCATGGTGTTTGCTATGTATTCAGGACCAATTGGTTTTGGTGGCTCGGTTAGAGCTGAAATAATGGCACTGTTGCAAGGTCTGACTCTGAGATTAGCACAACAGCTTGGTTTTTGAGAAATGGAAGTCGAAGGAGATTCAGAACTGGTTAGGAATGGCAATGGGGCAGGGATCATATTCCCTGTCCCTGACCCCGATTATGAAATAAATCCCTATCCCTGATCCCGATCACTGGTGGAGTTAATCCCCATCCCCGTTCCCGCCCTGCCAAAGCAGTCCCCCATCCCTGACCCCATCGGGTAGGGGAAGTTGGGTAACCGGCAGGGATGGGGAAAATTGCCATTCCCTAGAACTGGTTATATCTTGGACAAGGCATTGTAATTCAGCACCTAGGAGTTATAGACATGACTGCAGGGAGATATACTACCTAGTAAGGGAACTGAATACCACCTTTATCTGGATTAGAAGAACTGCAAATGGGTTGGCAGATGTAAGGGGTAGATAGAAACCATTTGTTCTGGGCAAAAAACATTTGGGGATTGGTTGGAATGGTCCAACAGCTGTACTAAAAATAACTTCAAATTTATTAATGAATATCCTTTGCTGATAAAAAAATGTTTTAGAAAAACTATTTTCTCAAATTAAAACACATAAATGTAACATATAGAACATATTAAAAAAATGAAAATGTAAAAATAAAATCAAACATAACATCATCATCCATGCCTTGTCCCAACTCTATGGTACATGAATCCTGTTTTACCAATCCATTCTATTTAAAACCATATCCACTGTTAAATTATTGGTACTTAAATCATTTCTTACTACTTCTACCCATGTCTTTTTTTTGGCCTACCGTCTACCCCTAGCTCTTCTAGGCCCTTCCACTTGTAACAAATCACTTCTTCTAATTGGAGCTATTGGTGGTATTCGATGCACGTGACCATACCATCCTAGCCTACTCTCTCTCTCTCTCTCTCTCATTTTATCACTTATTGGAGCTACTCCTAGGTTTCTATGGATGGCTTCATTGCTGATCCTATCCTTTCTAGTTTTTCCATTCATCCATCTTAGCATCCACATTTCTGCCACTATCATTTTCTGAACATGTTTCTTGATTGCTAACATGTTCAGGCATGTGAAACTTTTAATCAATTTATTTTTCCCATTTGCATTCTTGATTCTGCAAGTATGAGCCACCTTTGTACCAAGCCCCCCGGTAGATACCAAGCTCCTTGAGGCAAACCCAAACAAGTCCATGTTAGGGTCTTAAGTTCTTAATCCTTTAAAAAATGATTTATAATATTAATTGTCTTTTAAAAATATCTTTTATTAGGATGAATGAACAACATTCATTCATTAGGTGTGCACCTTTGGCCCAGCCACTGGGCTTAAAAAATAAGCAAAATGCACAATTTCAAAAGGCACATGTCTGGTGTGTGCCTCGCCTGTGTGCCTCAAGAACACCTTTCAAATCACTGGCAATCCATTAAAACCATATATACTGGTGGCTGTTCTTTGTTAACTACTGGTATTTAGCTCCTATCTTGTCTCACCCATTATTGCTGCCTTTGCAGGAGCATTTTCATCTATATTCCAACAATTGGAGGAAGTTCTGAAGAAGGAATTCTGTAGGCAAAGACCACTATAGATGGTTCTGATGCTATTCAAACAAAACATTTGATGGCATGCTGAACTCAAAGATGGAGTATGGGTCTAACATCTCAGTGCCTTGGGGTTTTTTCCAACAAGAAAAGTAACTGACAAATAAAGGGTACAACAAAACTATAAAACAAGAGTTGAGACTTGTGTGATGATTGGGATATCTCACAAGAAACTTGGTGAGGTTCAATTTGCATACTTGGTACTTCCTATCAGACCATGAACATCATCCGCGTTTTCATGGCAACCTGTAATAGAAAGAGTTGAGACTTGAGGAGAGATTGGCTTGGTGGAAGTGTAAGCTATTATCCTTTGGTGGCTGTATTACTTTGATTTAAAGTTTTGTGACCAATTTGCTCATAAATTATCTTTCCTTGCTAAAGATAATTTCAGGTTGGTAAGGGGCCTAGTATTCTTTTTTGGGAGGATGAATGGAGTGGTTTTGGTAGATTTTGTGATCCTTGTCCTAGACTCTACAGGTTAAGTGAGAAGGATATCACGATTAATCTGTGCTTTGAAATCAGGAATGATAGAGTTATTTGGTGTCCAAAATTTTAAAAACCATAATAGCCGCACCTAGAAGTAGATGAATGTTTATCTCTTTCTGAACCAGATGCAAGATGGTGGAAGGATTAATGGACAGCTCACAGTAAATTCATTTTTATTCTGCACTTAATTCTAAACCAGGTGGGCAGAGCTGAATCGAGAGGTATTAGGGGTAATCCAATGCCACCCAAGGTGGAAGCTTTCACATGGCTAGTTGCCATGAACAATACAGGACAATCTCTTCATTACATGCATTTCAGCTCACAATGGATCAGCTGAGAGAGAGAGAGAGGGGACGACAGGTTCTAAGTATGCTTTTTTGTTCAACAGAAATGAATAAGATGCAGGACATCTTCATCATATGCAGCTACACCAGATTCATTTGGGGATTTTTCTTCTTTAAAAGTTGTTCACAGCCTTTGAATCCCAATGAGATGTTTGCAACTTGGCCAAGAGGCCCAAGACTTCAGGAGAGTAAGAAAGGCTTTTTGTTTTTTTGGAGCCATGTTCTGTTTGCTGTACTGTGGTGTATTTGGAAGGTAAGAAATGTTTAGAAGAACTGACAAAGATCGCTTTTCAGTGGGGAAAACAATTCTGGATGGGATCATAGTGCATTCCAGAATTTTCTGATGTACAAAGAGAAACATTCAGGGTTCATTTTTGGCAACATTAGAATTGTCCTAGATCTTGCACTTTCTTGAGGTTGAGTGCCACCTCAAAACCATACGTTGCCAGAGAAGATGGTCATTCAATCGTGAAAATAAGTTGTAATCAAGGGAAGCTGAAAACTTCCATCCTCCATCTTCATTAAGTTGTACAATTGCAGTAGTTCGTGCACAATGAGGTTCAAATTTGGATATATTAATTTCAGGATATCATATTCTGTTCATGGGCTTGTTCAATTTTTATCAGTTTTCATGAGAAAACTCGTCATTGAATTGAGACTTAAAAAGACTATCGTGGTATGACACGCTTGAAATTAAATTTATTACTTGGTTGATCGGTTGATCTCTATTTTTTAACTGGAAGCCAAACTTCCTCTTGCCTTTGCTTAATAACAAATCCATAACTTTTTACATACTCAGTTTGTTTTATTTAATTTTATTTTCTTGATTGTTGTTATTAGTTATTTATTACTCGTTAGTTTTTAAGTTCTAAGCTTTCATGCCCTATTGCCCCGCTGTCCAATTTCAAAGGTACTGTGCTAAACATTCTCATATATTTTTATAAGGAAAATCTATGATGCAGAAAAGATATGGTATAGGAAGAGTTTTGACCAATCAAAACCCACCCATGAATTTTGATAAATAGCATCTGATTGGCTGCCATGCTTATGATTCTAATTGACTGGTCAGTAGTTTTTCAGATATCATATCTTTTCCATATCATAGTGGAATCCATTTTTATACTAGAAAATGTGTTAACATTATAATTTCAGATATGGAAATATGTGTGTATGTTTTTATAATTTTTTACATCTTTATCTGTTTTTTTTTTAACTTTTATTGTTTAATTATGAACTCCTAGGTCAATTTGTGACCTGGATGGTTGAACCTTTGGTTTGCCATCCAAATGGATAAATAATTCCATTTTTCTATTTTTTTTTGTTTTTAAGTTTAGGTTTTATATTCCATTTCCATTATTGATAAAATATTTTTTAATTATAATATTTATTTTTATTTGATAAGAAGGTTTAAAATATTGGTATTGCATATTGTATCAATAAGCCTGGAGAAGGATGTGTATTGTGTTAAGCTTTTGATACACATGGTTACAATGGAAAGATATGTTGTGCTTGGATACATTGGGAAAACTCTCACAAGTTCTAAAAATACATAAATGGCACAACACTAGATATTGGAATAACTATGAATAATAAACATATAAGAATTGCACACTTCAATAATTTGTATGAACATTACAATCAATATAACTAGGAATCTAGAATATATAAATACCATTCATAACTTTACTAATAATACATTAATGTTTCTGCTTCTAGTTTATTAAAAATTTATTACAAATTACATTAAATTGTTGTTAGATTATTGGCTTATAATGTATAAAATAAGCTATTTTTTTTAAATTTCGATTTTTTCTAAAATTTTAAGAAAAATTATTTTTGACACATCTTTACACATGGTTTTCGAACTGCCATTGACCCGAATGGTCGAACCGTTCGGCTTAGGAACTGTCCAGGCAACCGGCTTCGTTTTACCCCAAACCCGGTCCCTGGCAAAAAACCATTGAATTAGTCAATGAACTGTTGACCCGGGCGGTTGACTCGTCAACCCATTCAATGGTTTTTGGCCATTTTTTATTTTAATTATTATTTTCTTATTTTTTTTAATTTTTTTGTCAGGATGGGCCGTCCGTTCAAATCGGATGGTCGAACCGTCGACTTGGAAACCAGTGGCCAGAACGGTTCCGTTTTTGGGTTGTTTTTTAAAACCATGTCTTATACTGTGCCTACTTAGATGCACAGTCCTTGTCATGACCCATCGTTACATATTCATCAAACCTCTCCTTCAAGTCTTCCGGAAGGTCGGTGGTGCATTTATATATAGGGATGCAAACGGATCAGATTGGATTTGAATCAGAGTGTATTTGAATCCAATCTGACATTGTTCATGTCGGAACCGATCCGATTTGAAGATTTAACCGGATTTGATAGGACTCAATTTGAATTTGAATCTTGTCGGTAAGTCGGATCTTTGGATCTAATTCAATCCGACTTGTATATATATATGTATTATATATTTATATTTATGAATATATATTTTTAAATAAATAACATATATATGCATTATATATTTATATTTATAAATATATAATACACATCGGATCGGATAGGGTGGGTTGAAATCTGGACCCAACCCGAAGATCCAAACAAGGCTGATCCGAATTTGACCAAATAGGAGTGGATCATGATCCGATCCATTTGCACCCCTATTTATATATCATTGGCAGCTCTTGGTTCTGCATAGAAGTACTGTTGCAAAACAAACCACACAGATAATCTCTTATACAAGGTGTTTGGTATGGCTTATGTTTATTTGATAAATGGTGCTAGGTCATCGCTAGGTGGGCATTTGTCCGGTCCCATCATGCTATTTTGTATGCTTATTTATCCTTTAAATGTTTGTCTTGGTTTACATGCAAGCGAACCGTTGGGGGAAGCTTCATTTTAATGTTTTCCCCAATACAAATATGTTTATTTATTGTTTCACTTATGTAGTGTCTAATGGCGCCTAGTAGCATCTAGCTATGAACAAGTATTAGAAAAACGTTTATCAATCATTTTTTCTCGATTTTGAAGACAAATTAAATACAAAAATCCACTCAATTGAATAATATTAAGTTTTGATATTTGATCTTTACCTAGGCAGTTTCTTATACCGACTGTCATGCACTATACTAATGTTGCAATTACTCAAATCCTTAAGTTCTCTACACCTTTTAATATCAAACAAGCTGAAAAAGAATATACCATGTTACGAAAAGGAAATGCTGTGATTTGGAATTGGTGCAAATGCTTTCTTTGCACCAATTCCAAATCATAGCACGGTCACTCACAGTTGCCAGTTGAAACTATGGGTTTTCAACAGGTAGGGGACGTTAATTTTTTGAATTTTGAGAGGAAAAAAGTTAGGCCAATGGGAAAGTTGGTTGAAAGTTTATTTTCCTAGTATCATTTAAGTGATACCCATTTGATATCCATCTTTCATGTGGATAAATAATTTTTTCATCAGAGGGAAAGTCACCAACATTTAGATGGGATAAAAATGTTTAATTGTCTATTTTAATAATGGATTTTTATGGATAAAATGGTCATTGGTTTATTTGCATAGGAAATAAAAGAACATAGGTGTATGCACTGACCCTGGTAGAAAACACTAAACTAGGTAAGTAACATACTGAAAAGCGAATGGAGCCCAAGAGAAAGCATATGGGACTAATCTCTAAATAGGCAATGTTGGTTGCTTTGGATATTTTACACCAAGTAGTCAGTAATCCTATTTTATTCCTTTTTAACAATATACTAGTTCTTAATGTTCAGTTTGGATCTATTTTCTTTGCAAACATGTGATATTTTATATAGGGACCTAAATATTAATCAATTTATGCAATAATCATATATTATGATTATTAGGGGTGAGCATGGGCCGGTTCCATGGTAGAACATGGAACCTACCCTATGAAGGTTGGTTCTAGGTAGGGATGTAAATGGATCGAATTCGAATTGAATTAGGCAATATCCAAATTTGAATCTGATTAGAAAATTCAATATCTGAATTTTATTTGATATCTGACGGATATTGAAAATTAATATTCGAATTTGAATTTGATCAAATATTTGAATATTTGATTTGATTCAAAGTTGGCCAAGTAATTATTTTAGGTAATTAATAAATATATAAAATAAATATTTTATTTATATAAAGTATATAAATATATAAATTATTTATATAAATTAATTATTATATATATATATACTTTATATAAAATATTTAAATATTTTATATATTATATATAAGAATTAAATAATCGGTCGAATTTGGATATTTATCGAATCGAATAAGGTCATATCCGAATTCGACCAATTAGATATTCGAGTTATCCAAATTCGATTCGATTATGTCGAATCTCGAATTCGAAATCGGATTTTCAAATACCACACCCTTAGTTTTGGGGTCAGTTTTGGCCTTGGCGGTTCCAGGGTTTACCCATGCAAGCTATTCTTCTTTACTCTCCCCCTTTTAAAAAATGTCCTTCAAAAACTTGATTTTCAATAATGATAATATATAGTTTAAAACTTATATTATCTTTATTGATTAAATTGAGTAATTTAATATGTAGATTATCATAATATATTAATATATGGTTCAAAATTTGTTATTATAATTTAAATTTTGTAAATATTACCTTTTACATTATTTATTATACACATTCAAATATTAAAATGGAAACAAATGATCAAATTAGTTAAATAATTCAATGGTCAAATGAGACCATGGCTTTTGTAACCACGAGTGTTTGGATTCAAATTTTTATATCCTTAAACATATTTTGGGGTTTATTTCAAGATAAGTTTGATTTCAAGGCCAGTTCAACCAAAGCCAACCAAAGCCGGTTCATTGGATCGGTTTGGGTAAGGTAAACCTAGACCCTGAAATTGACTTGGATGGGATTTGATTCTAAGAATTTGAAATCAGACCCTACCTTGTAAGAGATTGGGTAAGGTTAACTCAACGCCATTTTCCATTTGATTCTAAGTAAAATCTGCCCATTTGCTCACCCTTATCTTATAATAACAATTGTTTTTATCATTTGAATCCTACCTTGCAAACATTTGTTTTTATCATTTGATTCCTAAAACATATTAGCATTACTTTCTTTTATCCAACATTGCATTACATTCCTTTATTCAAACAGTTTTCCATCTTCAAAAGTCATCTCATTTCAGCATCATTTTCAAAGATATATAACTTCAGCTCGTTTTTACAAAAACACAGCTAGTTATTCCGCCATCCCATTATGCTTCTTTTCAAA